CATCTCAGCGAAATAGTTCAACAATGGATCCCTCCATTAGATTTCAACCTTGGCTGGATCCAGGAATTAGAAGGGACTCAGGCATCCTGCAGACAAAGACCACCCCCCAAACTCACAATAATATTTTGGCATCAGACAAGGGGAAATAGGGATGATAGAGATCATGCAGCTTGGGAAAAGAATAAATCCCAAATAATTCTTTACCTTCCGACTTCACAGCCCCCCCCCCTTTAAACCAAAAGCTTCCTTGTACCTGGGCAAGGAGCGGCCACTACTTGTCTCTCTCCTGACTTCTTGGAAAAGGCAGCAGCTTCTGCGTGTGTCCCATGCTTAGCTCAGGTTTCAAGCGTTCATGCTTCTGGCAGTGGGATGTGGGCCAAGCACTCTCTGGGCCTTGCACCCAGCCTGGGCTCAGGGCCTTCCAGAAGAGGCTTGGCAGCCGCTGGGTCTTGCTGAGTGTGCAAAGGGGGCCTCCCTGACCCCCAACTCCCTGGGCCTGCAGACTTAAGAGGGTCCCAGGCAGGGGGAGAGAAACTCATGGTGGGGCCAGTAGATGAGAGAAGGAAGCAGAGATATGTGGAGATATAAAATGCCCCTTTAAAAAGCACATGGAGAAAGTAAATTGTGGCAAGCTGGTGGGCTCTGGCCTGACCCTGTGCTAAAACCAAATGGGTTTGTCAGTGTCCCAGCACCTGCTTCCCTTCTCTGTGTGGTCACATCTCTCTCTCTCTCTCTCTCTCTCTCTCTCTCTCTCTCTCTCTCTGTCTGTTTTGACTTCAACCCTGAGGTTCAGCCCTAGTTGTAATGAAGGAAGGTGAGGACAGGTGACCCCACCTAGGCCCAGGAGTCCCCCCCCACAACCAGGCCTCAAACTGTCCAAAATTCCTTTTGTCTTCTAAAAATCCAAAACAGCTTTTCCTCTCTTTTCTGTTTTTCTCACAAGATGCTGTGGCAAGGGCAAACCGTTACTTTTTATCAGTACAAGAATGCTTCAAAAAGCTAATGAATAGACTCTGTCGGAGCAGGCCTGAGGCTGACTTTTATCTCACTCTAGTTGCAACATCTTTGGACATACTGAACTACTCTCATTCCCTTTCCTGGGAAGGGTGCCAAGAGTCCCAATAGTCCCAAGACAGCTTTCTGTTCATGCTCAGAGGACTCCAGAGGGAGGAGAAAGGAGGAGGGAACTGAAAAGGGGTATATATGCTTGTGCACATGACTGTGAATTTCGTGCATGTTTTTTATTGTTTTATTGATATTTATTACGGGCATTGGCCCACCACATGACAGTTTTCCATACCAACATAATGTACTTAAACCTCCAAATTTAAAACCGCCAAAACTTACAAAAAACAGACAAGAACCAAAGCAAAACAAAACAAAAGACCACATCATACATTACAATAAATTTGCAACATAAACTTCGCCCTCTGCTCATAAATTAATAAAAGACATCAATGGTGATATCACCTAATTACATCCTAAAACATAGATCATGGTTTAAAAGGGTTATCCGAGCCGCACAGGAGTCCATTTTTCTTCTTTAGGGATAGGGCGCTGATCAAGAATCTGGCAACCGTGAGTGATCTTAGGGGGTCTTCATCATTTAATAGATATCTCAGTTTGGCTTCATTCGTATCATCGGCGATTCCCTTTAGATATTGAGCAAGAAACTTGCTCCTGACGTGCATGCTTTTTGTGAACTATCACACTTGCTCCTTCTACCAGTTCATGGATGGTAGAAATAAAAGCCTTTGCTCTGAAACTATTCCTTGAGTGTCTGTTGACTCCCACTTCCCTTTCCCAGGCGCAATATTTTTCCCACCCGAGGGCAAAGCCTCATAAGGCTACAGTAACACTGAGCATTTATTACAAGGCACACACTTAACCACTGGAACCCCCTGCCACTAGATAGAGGGGTTCAGGAGAAGAGCCGGGCTGCTGGATCACCCCAAAGGGGCCCATCGAGTCCAGCATGGCGGTCTCCCAGTGACCACCCAGATGCCCCAGTAAGGAATCATGCAAGGAGGACGGGAGGGACACCCAGCGAGTGGGATGCGAATGCATTTACTGCCTCTGACACTGGAGGAAGAAGGGAGCCATCGTTTAAGAAATGTAAGGGCTTTTTTTAAAAAAAGGACACAGGAAGCTGCCTTGCACTGACTCTGGGGGAACGTTTATATAATTTAGCAGAGTTTAAACGATTCCCTGTTAGAGTTTATGCAGCGATAAGTGGATTGCTAACTCGTTTGAGTCCTATCAATATTTATACCTTCCTGGTTGATAAACCCTTCTGTCCCTCCAAACAAAACACACATGAATCTGAATCATATTAACATCAACTACTTTACTTTCAGATTCATTCAGTTTACAGAGTTGTTCCTGAAGGCAGGCTTTAGTTACTTAACAGATAAACTATATACTAGATAGTAGTGAGTCATGAGAAGAATGCATCCGAGCAAGGGCGTAGGAAGGGGGCGGAGGGGGGTGGGTCGCCCCAGGTTCCATCATGGAGGGGGGTGACAAATAATCAAAGAATAATAACTGCCCTAGTAGGGCAGTTCATAAAAAACTTTTTTTAAAAAAAATGCCTGCTCCAAAGGTCTTAACTACACTAGGGATTATATAGCTATATATGAAATTTCATGCATATTAGTTAATATCTTGATCCTCCTCCACAAAAATAGTTGTTTACTCATCTGTTTTCCTGTGTTGTGAAGGCTGAAATTTCAATTCAGTGGAGCAGGGTCACCATCCCAAAGAGGATAAAATGGGCAGACTCTGGTACTCTTTTGTCCTGTCCTCCCCCAATGTATTTCTGTCTGCCTGTTACGTTACATGCGGGGGAACCTGTGTGGCGTTCCTCTTTGTGTAAAGTCTTCAAGCTGTTCCTGCGCATGCCTGACAAATCTGCCCCACTGTCAAAATTTATCTTTCCCCCCCACCTCCAGTCTCTGTTGTTGTGTGTCCTGGCTGAGGGGGAAAATGGAAGACAGATGGCCATTGGTCCGGGATGGTCTAGTTGAGATTCCTGCATTGCCCCAGGGATTTGGCTAGATGACCCTCAGGGGTCCCTTCCAACTCTACAGTTCTCTGGTGCAGGCTTGTGCAGAGGTTTAGGTACAAGTTGGATGCAAGGGGTGCATAGGATTGCAGCCCATCTTATGCACCATCGGCTCAGGAATAAGTCCCACTGATCATGATGAGATTAGATTGCTGCTATGCAAGATGAGATTAGATTGCTGCTATACATTTTTAAATAAATGTTTTCCTTTTCAGATAATACAGAGCATGGTGAAATCACAATAAATAAAACCTCCCCTTCAGTAGTTTCAAGCAGTACTACAGGTTCCTCATAATATCTGTAGTGCATTGTTTACTGTGACGGCACCTGCACTTTGGAACCCCCCGCCTACTGCAACAAAGCGCGTGCCTTTGCTAGACTCTTTTCAGGCACCTGCTAAAAGCATTCTTCTTTAGGCAAGCATACCTAGATCCAGGGACGCGGACTTATAAAAAATATTGGGGGGGGCGGGGGGGGGGGGCGGGGAAAGCTCATGAATAATAAATAAGCTCATGAATATGCAAATAAAGTGGCGCCGCCTCCTCGTGAGCGAATAGGGGAGAGCGTGCTGCGCCTATTAATCAGCTCCAAAGGAAATTGGGTGGAGCTTTTGCTCGGGAGGGAGGGCAGGAGGCATGCAGCCCGCCCCTCCCTGTGCATTTTGGGCTGGGGGAGGGGCGGCGATGGCGCTCTGCTGGAGGGGCGCCGGAGATTATTGGGGGGGCAGAGCCCCCCCAAATGAATTTTTGAGGGGGCTCGGGCCCCCTCAAGCCCCATGGAGTCGGCGCCTATGCCTAGATCCTTAGGAAGTTGAAGTAATTTTAATCTTAATATTTTAGCTTCTGTATGTTTTAAAGTAGTGGAACATCATCCCTTCATGTGTGAAGGAAATAAGCAGCTATCCTATCTTTAAAAGACATCTGAAGGCAGCCCTGTTTAGGGAAGTTTTTAATGCTGTATTGTTTTTAACACTTGATTGGGAGCCGCCCAGAGTGGCTGGGGAAATTCCGCCAGATGGGTGGGGTATAAATAACAAATTATTATAAAGTAGGGTTGTTAATTTTTCTTGATTTTACTGCTGTGGTGTTTTGTTTTGTGTGTTTTTTTTGGGGGGGGGGGGACTTTGCAGGTTTTAAAAAATAATTTTAATTTTTAATAATTTTATTAAATAAATAAAGAATAAATATAAATAACACGAGCCAAAACACAATTCATCTTTAGATTTAAGTATCTGTCCATAGTCGCCTACTTGTTATCAGAGGCAGAGAATCCACATTCCTTTGTAAGAACATATGAAATAACGTAAAATTGCCATTTTTGCAGGCAATTAAAAAAAAATAAAATTCAATGTTGGGGAGGGCTGACATGAAATTTTCCTCACCGGGTACCACCTGACCTTCCTCCCTCTCTGCGTCCGAGCAGTTACCAGTCAACACTCCCAGCAGCAACCCACCAACAAACTGCCACATAGAGGCAGTTAGTCCTCTGGGAATGTTGGGCTTGACTGACAGCTTTACAGACTCCGCCCACAAGCGCATCTCCCTGGGGATCTAGCAGCCCCTCCCCCCAGTTCCAGAGAGGGGGACATTCCCAGACCCCCCTGGAGATGCGGGGACTGAACCTGGGGTCCTCCCCTGGCCACCCCCCTCCGCCCTCCCTGCAGGGCAGGACAGGAAGAGCTGAGGGAGGGAGGGAGGCGGCGATTCCCGGCGAGGGGCTGCAAGAACTTCCTCGTTCCCTCTTCAGCCTCGCTCGCCACTTGTGCCTAGAATTCTGCCCAGCGACCGGTGCCGCCATCTGCGCTCAGATTTCCGATTGGCGGAATATTTCCCCCTCGGCCAATCCCGCCTCGTTCTGCTGCTGGTTCCGCAGGCGGGGCAGAGAGCGGGTCGGAGGGAGGAGGGAGGAGGAAAAGGGAGCTTCCTTTTGGGGGGAGATGGGGGTCCTCCTCCTCCGCTGGCCCCCCCTGATCCTGGGGGCGACTGCCCACCTGCTGCTGCTGCTCCTGGACTGCGCAGGTAGGGACTCTGCTCTGGGGCGGGGGGAGAAAATAATCCCTTCCCAAACATCTGTTTCCCAGACTTGGCTTGTTTTGTATGCCGCCCGGGGCAGGGGCCGCGTCACTCCTGGGCTCGGGGCTCAAGCAAAGAACAAAACAAAGCTTGAAGGTGTTGGCAGGATTCATGGGGGGGAAAGGGACTGTCCCGCCCCCGCAGCTTCGTGTTGACTCTGGTTTGTGTGCGTGCGTGAGAGAGAGATACAGATACAGAGTCTTCGCTCGTCTATTTTTTTACCTTCCTTCTTCTAATCTAACCCTCAGCCGCTCTAAAAACCCTGGAGACCAGCCTGGGGGTGGGAGCTGGACGCGTGTAGAGCTGACTTCATTGCGGGGTAAACGTCTGAATAAGGGGTCCCCACCCGCAATTCCCCATGTTGTGTTGTTCAGGAGTTCCCTTTCACAGGCACATGAATTATCAGGCTCTTCTGCTTTAGAGTTGTAACTCCCCCAGTCTCCCCCACCAAGAAAACCCCTTTCCTGTTGCCTGTCAAAAATGTAGGTTTCCTAAAGTATGCAGGGGGCTCCTCTCTGCCGTTTCTGTACAGCCCCTTGTGCACGAAGGGCACAAACAACTCCTGAGAAACGAAAGGGGGGCCCCCACCCTACAGCCCGGTTCCCCTTGAATACACCCTCCTTTTATATTCTCCCTCCCCCCAAAAAAAAGTTCAAAAAAGTTGGAGCCTCTTCCTGGCTTCTGGGGCTCCTAGACATGAATTTCCCTTGCTCAGAATATTCCTGCTCCCTCAGCCCACCAATCCACAGGCTTTGCGTACTATTCCAGGATTTATCACTATTAAATTCTTAATTTCACATTCCTGATTGCTGCCTTTGGTGTTTTTCACCTTTTGTGGTTGCCACTCATGTTCTCTGTTTAACCAAAAAAATGTATATCCTGCTCGATTGTGGTAAAAACTCCTATTAATTTACAGGAAATAGTAAAACAATAAAAACAGTCAAAGCATTAAAAAATAACTAAAATTAGCAGCTGTCAACATTTGACTATTTGGATAGGGTTGCCCAAAGAAAAATGTTTTAAACAGACACTTTTGTGAGACAAGCGTATTCTTCATGGGAGAAAGATCTGGAGATAGCAGCAGGGCACTCTGTTTTCCACCGTGGATCTCCCTCAGAAGGTGGTAGATTCTCCTTCCTTGGAGGTATTTTAGCACAGGTTGTATGGCCATCTGCCATGGATGCTGCAGTTGAGATGCCAGCATCGCAGGGGGTGGGACCTTCAGGGTCCCGTCTATGAATTTTATTTTAATTTCCTAGTTTTTTTGAGATGAGTCACTGGCCAAACTCAAGTGGACTTCTTCCTCCTTGAGGGTGAAGATGTCCAAAGTGCATTCCACACAAATTTCCCAGGGGTATGATTGGTCCTCAAGGACCACCTCTTTTCATATGAACCTACCTGGACCCTGAGATAATCTTCTGAGGCCCTCCTTAAGAGCCTGGAGGGTGGCAACAGGGCCTTCTCTGCAGTGGCTCCCTGTCTGTGGAATGCTCTCCCCAGGGAAGTTCACCTGGTGCCTACATTGTACACCTTTAGTTGCCAGGCAAAATGTTCCTTTTTAACCAGGCCTTTGGTTGATTTGACTGACATCCTTTTAAAATGTGGGGTTTTTTTTGGGGGGGTTATTAGGTTGTTGTTTTTATTTGGCTTATATATTTTGTGGTTATATTTTGATTTTGTTCTGTGAACCGCCCTGAGATTCTGGGTATAGGGCTGCATATAAATTCAATTAATAATAATAAATAAAAACAATAATAATACATCCCATTTTGCTACCTGAGGCAAAACAGGAATTTTCTCCTCCCCCGCACTGTTTCCACCCCTTCTCTGCTTCTCCGTCCAGGGGTGGAAAAGATACGGCTCCTTCTTGCCAGTCGGGGGGGGGGGGCTGTTCTGGTGGCAGCAGAAGCAGTGTGGTTGCCTCCTGGCCAGGCCAGCTCTGAATATGATGCTGAAGCCTCTGCTCAGCTCCCTGCCTCCCCTCCATCCTCTCCCCAAGTCTTTCTTGGTTGTTACTGTGGAGACTCATTAGGCCCCCTGGTGGCCAGAGCTGGTACAGCCTGTGGGAAAGTGAGCCCTTTTGGGGATAAGAGGTTCTTCCGTTGCCACGCTCTGCCCCCTTCCTGTGTTCGATCTCGTGAAGGGGCAAGGGTGGGGAAAGGGGATGTGGGGCCACATGTTGAGACCTGACCCCAAAGTTGCATTTGCCCTCCTGCCCCTGCTATCCCTGTGGGGCCTTCTTTCTCAAGTGGGGAACCCGCTCTGTGGGTGGCAGCTCAGAACATTGAAAGATTGCAACACTGAACCATTGAAACACCAATTATCAAAAGATCATCCAGGAAGGATCCTGGGAATTACAGGCCAATTAACTTGACATCTGTCCCTGGAAATCTCCCACCTTTGGAAACTCCCAGCTTGGATGCATTTAACTTGAATGATTTGAGCTTATGCTGTTGAGAGCTGGCCTGCTGGAATCACACAAATTATATATGCAGCAGACAGAGAGCTCTTTTGTGCAAGGCTCTCACAGGATCTTGTGGGGCTCTCCTGAGTTCCCAGGAGATCTTTCCAAAGCCCCCCAGAGCCCAGGAAGCAAGACCCAGGTCAGACCTGTTCAGTGCATGGCTCCAGAAGGTCAGGTGGTGGGGGGCCCCAAGGGAGTGGCTGGACTATGCATGGTTCTGCATATATTAGCCACTCCCAGAAAAGAAGAACAGCCTGCCTCAGGCCAGGGGCCAGCCTAGTCCAGCACCCCTTTCTCACAGTGGCCCCTCAGATGAATGGGATGCTGAACTAGACGGGCCATTGGTCAGATCCTGCAAGCTCTTCTTTGTGCACATTACAGTAAGTCTGTGAGATAATATTTTTTCATATTTAATACTCCACTTCTCCTCCTCCATATAATTCAAGGCAGCACACGAGAGGAGGGAGGGCAGAGGGTCAGAACCTGACATCTCGGGGGGGGGGGGCTGGGAAAGAGACCCCTTCCTGAGTCCCTGGGGAGCCACTCCCAGTCAGGGCAGACAACTCAGTGCTACCTGGACCAGTGGTCTGGTGAGGCAGCTTCCTGTTCTCCCAATATATGGATTTTTCTTTGTCTGGTCTCCCCTCCATCCACTTCCCAGACCTGAGCCTGCTTAGCTTCTGTTCGGTGCCTGCATCCTGAGCCTTCAGACCATGTTGTGGGAGCTCTCATCAGCTTGGCGCTTGCAAGTGGGGGGCAATTCCTGCCCCCTGGGCAAAAGGGAGGGGCTGGCCTCTCTCTCCCCCACACGGAGCCTCAGCAGAGACATGCAGAGATTTAGTGCTGCCTGGCAGAGCTTTCTCTCGCCCTCTGCTCCATGAGCTATTGTTGTTGATACTTGTATTTATATCCTATCCCTTTTTCAACTCTATGAGTCTTTATTTATACCCTCTCCCCTTTCCAACTCTCTGATTCTTAGGCTCCCTCTGCTCTGCCTCCTCTGTGTTTAAGGGCAGGTCTACAAACTCCCCCAAACCCTGCTGAACTTTGGATCTCCTAATTTAGGGCTGCTGCCTGTAATACAGCAGGATTAGGCTGCTACCTTCATCTGCAGGACCCCTAACTCTCTGCCCCCTTTTTTTCTCCTTTCCAGGCTCCACTTCTCACTCCCTGCGCTACTTCTACACAGCCGTGTCTGAGCCTGGCCAGGGCCTGCCCCAGTTCATCGCTGTGGGGTACGTGGATGACCAGCAATATGTTCAGTACGACAGTGACACTAAGGAGTATCTGCCTCGCGTCCCCTGGATAAGGAAGGTGGAAAAGGAGGATCCTCAGTACTGGCACAGGGAGACTCAGACACTTCAGGGCTCTGAGCTGGTGTTCAGGGTGGATCTGCAGACTCTGCAGAATCGCTACAACCAGAGCGGAGGTGAGTGGAAGGCAGGAGAGGAACAGAGTCACCTCTTCCCCCCCCCCCATAATGTTTCCTCCAAGGGCCAGAATTGCAGGGAGGGGGCTGCTGGGAGGAAAGGAAATGGAGGGTGGGGGTCTCCACCAGGGCAGAGGTGTCTCCCCTTCCCTTAATGAAGGTCTTAATGGGGGCTGGGATGGTGTGTGTGTGGGGGGGGGATAGAGAATGAGACTTGGAGAGCACAGACCCCCCCTCCAGAATAACACTCTCTGGACCTGCACATCCTACCAAGGAAATGTCTCCATTGCCTGCCCTCCTTCCACGCTGGGCTTGGCTTAGGCCTTTTGAGGTGGAAATCTGTCTAGTTCATTTTCCTCGGGGGGGGGGAGAGAAGGGTGGGGATCCTGAGGCAGAGACAAGCAAGCCTTGAGTTCTGGTCCTGCTTAAGGAGAAGCCAGTTGCCCAGACAGAGGTGCTGATTGGCTGACCCTTCTGACCATCACCAAGCCCCTCCCTCTCCCTGGCACAGTGTTGAAAGAGAAGCCTTTTTAACGAACACAAATGGACTGGGTTTTGGGGGGTCAGAGTGGCAAATACATGGTTAAAACCATAAGCACTGGGGCTGCCATGTTTAACTGTCCTGTGTCCAAAAAGAGCATTAGGCCAGAACTGGATCAGGCCCATTAATATCAGAAATAATCTGCTGTCTAAGCACTTTGGGTTGTGTTATTTTGGGAGTTTCACTCTATCTCATTTTAGTTGGAAAACGTGTGGCCAGTTACCTGGGAGGGCAGGAGCCTCAGTGAACTTCATGGGACTTGCTTCTGAGTAAACCTGCATAAGATCCCACATCTCCAGCATTTATTTCACATCTGTACTTAACTTTATTCTCTAATGGTCTGCACTTAGGGACCCTTTAGAAAGGTCTTTCACTCCCTTTGTCCAGTTATGGTGATTTCTGCCCCCTTCCTCAACCAGCCTTGGAACTGTTACGACAGGAATCACTAAACTCAGTAAAAGTTGGTAGACCTCTGGCCAAAGCCTCTTGGCACACATTTTTGCTTTTTAAACTTCCTTCTGAAATGAGTCAGAAGATGTTAGTCCTTTTGAGACGTTAGTTGTGTGAAAGGAGCCAGCATGCTGGAAGAGTGGGGGGAGGCATTTGTGTCTATCCCCAAAGTTGAGTGACTCCCCCCTCTAATTGCATTTTTGGAGCAGAACTTCAGAAGTGGGAGCCTCTGCTGGGTCTGGAGGGAGATCTCTCTATGATTTTGCACCTTTCCAGGCTTCTATGTGATACGGAAGGGGGGTGAGCCTTCCTTCACCCTTCCGCTGGTCACCAGAGGGTCCGAGGCGATGACCTCAAGGGCACCCAGCCCTACATTCACCCTCAGCCCCCACACCGTTGCACAAGCACCACACCCTACCCCAAGCCCCAAAATTAAAGTGCCTTTCCCTTTTCCACACGGGCGAAATAAGCCCAAACTCTTAAGCCTCTTTCTCTTAAGCCTCTCTCTCGCTCCATCTTTATCGTGGGTAGACCGTATCAAACTGTATCCCCCATTCGTTTTCAATGGCTGTGTTCTACCCAATCAGAACCATGCATTCGCTTTGCAGAGCTAGCTCAGCGAGCTCCTGCACACCTCATTTAACCTCTTGACAAGCTGCTGACAGCTCCCCGCTGGGAGAACAATGGAACCGAAACTCGCGAACCCATAAAAGTGTCAAATCTTGCAACAATGTATCTGTTTTGTTTCCGACTTCATTATCAATATAAGAATGGACTGAAACGGACTAAAAACTTCTAAAATTCGTATAAAATCAACTGCAGCTCCAATTTCCTTGTTTTTGGTGTCGATCGACTCAGTTTCTTCAGGACTCCATGACACCTCCTCTGCCTCCATAATCCCTCGAGCGAGGAGTCACGTACTCAGGAAGACCCTAATCTGGTCAAATCACTCTGCCCAACCTTTCCTCTGGACAATGCCAGGTGGCAGACTTTACATACTTGGACTATTGTCTTCTCATCACCGGTACTCAGGAAGCACTTATCTCCAGCTCTGCATATTCCCCCCTCCCTCCTCCAGAGGTTAATCTGTGTAACCCAACCTCTCTCTAATGTATTCATGATGTAACTATGATGTATTTTGCACTGTATTCTGGGACATGGAGGGAAGTTTCAAAAACTCCTGTCACCCCTTTCTCGGGGTTCAATCTCGCCTTGAACCTGTTGTGCAATAAACTTGGATCTTCTGCAGCTTGCTCCTGTCTCCGGCTGAGCTCATTTTCCTCCGCAGGGACCCACAGACTTAGTCGGACGAGCTGGGTGGCAGAGCAGCCTCACACCCAGATTTTACCGTAACATAAGCTTCCTCACTACCTAAGCAGGCTCCCTGCTTCAGGACTTTAGCCCTGCCCCTAACAGCACCACAGGTGTCCCAGCACTAAAACAATAACTGAGGTGATGAGAGAGAGCGGGGCAATTAAAGGGGGGCTTCATAGGCTCAGGATTGTAGTGTTCACCTCAGTGAACGTGTTCTGCGGATGAGTCTTCAGAAAGATACAATGCTGGTTGATTTTTCTCCCCTCTGACTGCTGCCTCTTCCCTGAGTCTGAGGCAAATAAATCCTTTTTCCTGGGCTTCTTTGCTGATGGGGGGGAGGGGCTGCTCTGACCCCCCTTGACCTTCTGGGTCTCTTCTGGTCCTTCCAGGGATCCACACCCTTCAGCAGATGTATGGCTGTGAGCTGAGGTCAG